AAAAAAAAAAAAAAAAAAAAAAAAAAAAAAAAAAAAAAAAAAAAAACCACTAATCGTTCTCTAATCATTTGTTCCTATGCTTATATTGACGCTGTATACATGAGAAAAAAGCGCACGCTATGCAAACACGCAAAGAAAAAAAAATTAAAATGAAATAAAATAAAAATCTTTGTACGAGAGAGAGAGAGAAAGCGTATGCCAAGAAAAATAAGAAGAACAAAAAATCAAAAAAATGATTATCAAGTCTTTTTCTTTCTTCTTTTCACAAGATGGTGTTGCAGGTACGACGACCGCACCAAGAGCATATACTCGGAGACGTACATCAAGCACAATGACCGGCGCACGTCCAGCGACTTTGGCAGCAGTCTCTGAGACGAGAGGAAACGTAGCTTTAAGTCGCCCTCCTTGCCCCTGATAACCCTCCAGCCGCCACCCCCGAACGTCTCTCGACACTAGGCACCAAAGGCCCCGAGAGAGCACACACATATGTACACATAATCACCCACACACGCGAGAAGCCGCTCTTCAATCCAATCTTCATTGACGAGGTCATCATCAGTATATACTCTTCCCCACATCGTAGCCGCTCACCGTTGTCACCCCCGTCAACGTGTATAGTCGCTGTTACGTAACCTCGACGCCCTTCGTGCTCTCTCTCTATCTCCATCTCCGTGTACACCTCTCGCCTGCGAAATGTATTTCTCGACGAAAATATATACCTACTTACTTGCATACCCATACTTACATGAAGCAAAAGTATACACGCAGCAATCACTCAGAGGTCACACGTATACGCGTACGTGTATATATATAAATAAATAGATACACGTTTTTAATTGAAGAATTATTATTATTAAAAACAAAAGAAAACAAAAAAGCATAGAAAAATATTGGTATACACCTACACCGGAGACACGTAGAATATGTTTGTGGTGTAACAAAGTCGTCGTTGTCGTCTCTATTCTCTTGGCGAATCATGAATTTGTAAAAAAAAAAAAAAAAAAAAAAAAGAAAAGAAAAGAAAAATGAATATAAATAAAATAGCGCGAGGCGATAATCGCGCGCGAGTGCACGTGCGCAATTTTATTAATTGTATATAGCTGACACGTCGTTTGTATTGGATGAACCGTGAAAAAAAAAGTGTGGCATTATGTTGAGAGAGTCGCAGGAATTTCGACAGAATAGGTAAAATATTATTATTAATTATGTTGGGTAAAGTTTGCTGACATGAAAAAAAAAAAAAAGAAATCCAGTCGATTGCGCACTTGCACTCGCATGTTCGACTATTAGTACATTTACCCGAAACAAAATTTGAAAAGAGCTGGTAATGTATCGATGGAAAAAGAACAAAAGGTGGGGGGGGGGAAATAAATATGATTCTTCGCATAATGTTTTTGTGCTAGGTTTGTAATCACATATTGCCAAAGTTAGCTTGTAAGCGCGTGCTTTGTGTTTTAGCCGATCGTGCGAATGAGTGCGTCTATTTACGTGTAAAATGGGTAAATGTGGGTGCGTGCACGCAATAAAGAAAAAAGAAAAAAAAATGAAAAAAATGAAAAAAAAAAAAAATTAATATAATTAAGTAACGCCCGAGCGAGGATTTATTGGTGAAAAAATGAAATAAAGAAAGCGTACGATGATTTTTAAAGAACCAGAGTCTTCGATGGATTCTGCGAGCTCCCGAAGTCGAGCGGACGAACATCTTATAGTGATTTATTTTAAGTTGTGGTAATTTTTTTTTTTTTTTTTCTTTAACCAGAAAAAATTTGTTGTAAAAATATCGAAGAGATTGAAAATATTTATCACTTTAGTTTGTAATCATCGTCGCATATACTTTGTGTTTGGAGATCAAAAACTGAGGTACATCCTCATAAGGATGAACCACGCAATAAAGTATTACCCGTGTCGTAAGTATTATATAAATTTTTATCGTCACCATTTGACTTATTGATATGGAGGAAGAAGTAGCCTATCTCAATATAGTGAATGAAAAGGTGAACAACAGCTGTGCACTTGGACAAGAAAATTTGCAAAAAGCAATAATTTAAAAGTACTTACGCGTTATGCTCTCGTGTCCCTCATTTCACCTAATAATTCGATGGAAAAGTAGAAAAGGATGTATTTGGTAAGACTCGTTGATATACGTTAACACTTAATGTACTGAGCGGATATTTATTTTTGTTTATTAATTTCTTTTACGGTACTAAAGAGCTTTGTGATTCGGTAGAAAAAAGCTGAGTTGGGCAAATAAACTAAATCTGTGATGTAATGTACGAATAAACGAAGCCGGTTATGAGAAATTGACTGTTAGGAAATACAAGTAGAAATAGCCAAATACGGTAACACAATAAAATCAACGATACAGAGAGTGTCACGGCAACGAGTCATGAAATATGTATGTGTATACCGTTGTATCTGGGAATCCATAAGAATAATGTGTGTCAACATCAACGATAAATTCGATGACCGACGTTAGCGACGTGTAGTATACAGTACTCTTACAAATACCCCAATATGTGTACCTCAATAATAGATATTTCAGCACTCATCACTATGGCCTTCTTTATATGCTGAGTTTTATACCACACATCTCTTATTGATAATCAAAAAAGTAGAAAATACCACGTATAATAAGACATCCTGACTTAGTGATGGCTATGAAAAAAGTTAAAGTAGAAAAGCCTGAGTATGGTCAGACATACACCTGAATCAATTATGTCAGAATTAGGAAATTTAAAAAGCCGTAAGAGCTTAGTACAATATAAAGGCTTTTAAATCAATTATATTGTATTAACTAAATATAAAAATATAAAAAAGCCAAGTATGGTAAGCCACCTGAATGAGTTGAAAAATAATTAAGAAATAGAAGTAGGAAAAGCCAATCATGATAAGACACCTAAATCTATCAAGTACACATTAAAAAACACATTTTCTTTTTCACATTACTAATTTTTATAAAAACCAAAAAAAAGTATTAAAGTAGAAAAGGCTGAGTATGGTCAGACACTTTAATTGCTTGTATTGTAATTGGTAAATGTAAAAACTAAAGGCTAAATATAGTAAAGCAATTAAACTAACGGTATAATAATCATGTAAGAATTAGGAAATGTGAAAGTTTAAAAAACCGAGCACAATAAATCTTCTGAATCAGAGACATGGAAATGATTAAGTATAATAGTAGAAAAGGCCAAATATGGTAAGCCACCTGAATCCGAAAAGTACGAATAATGCAATTTAAAAGCTTAAGTAGCCGAGTATCCGACGAGACACTTAAATCAGCTGTATAGCAATTAAAAATCTGAAAGTAGAAAATGCCGAGTATGGTCAGACATTTTAATTTCTAATATTGTTATTGAGAAGTTTAAAAGTAAAAATATGGTAAGAAAATTAAACTAACGGTATTATAATCGTGTAAAAATTAGGGAATATTAACATTTAAAAAGGTAAGCACGATAAATCATCTAAATTGGAGATATAGAAATGATTAAATATAAAAGTAGCAAAGGCCAAGTATGGTAAGCCACCTGAATCAGACAAGTACGCATGATGTAATCAAATGTAAAAGTAGAAACAGCCCGATTACATGATAGAAAGACACCTGTATCGACGATGTGACAAAAATGGTCAAGTAGAAAAGGCTGAATATGGTCAGGCACCTGAACTGGTAAAATGATTCGGAAATGTAAAAATAAAAAATCAAATATAATAAGACAATTGAATGAATAATTTGGCATTTATTACAACAATGTAAAAGTAGAAAAAAAAACGAATACAGTAGGATATCTGAATCAATTACGTAATAATTAGGCGTGGTTTAAAATAATAATTTTTTTGGGCACTTGTAGATGACTTCATTTTTAGTCACCATATCGAGATAAACTACTTCTTCCGTTATGATCACGGTTCGATTAACTTTTCAACCACAAGCTCGATCATAATCTTGATGAAAAACGTTTTCCACAAAATTGCAACGATTAAAAAAGTTTGCCCCTCAAAGATATAACACGTCTTGATTTTTATCATAAAATGTACATTAGAGTTAAAAATTTTTTTTTTTATTCAAATATTTACGCATACACATAGATACATAAGCGTGTATCACCAGGTAAGCGGCGCGGCGGAGCACCTGCACACACCAACGAAGGACAAGAACATAATGAAGATGAAGCGCGAGCACAAGGCCGCGCGCACCCTTGGCATAATAATGGGCACGTTCATAGCGTGCTGGCTGCCCTTCTTCATCTGGTACCTGACGACCTCGCTCTGCGGGCCCAACATCTGTCCCTGTCCCGACATCGTGGTCTCCCTGCTCTTTTGGATCGGCTACACCAATTCCGCGCTCAATCCCCTCATTTACGCCTACTTCAATCGTGACTTCCGGGAGGCGTTCAAAAACACTCTGCAGTGCGCCTTTTGCTCCCTATGCCGTCGCGAGCCATCCGATCTCGAAGCTCTCGAGTGCCGTAGGTCGTCGATCAGGTGAGAGATAAGGTGCTTGTTCCTGCCATTTTTTACTGCTTTATTAACACAGACGTCCACAAACGTAATACTTTTTTTTTTTTTTTTTTTTTTTTAACATCTAGAGGTTTGTAGTCTTGTTGTATACTAACATATCATATACGTATATATATATATATACTCATCATGTGTTTGTTTATTTGTTCGTTCTTATTTGTTCGATTATTTATTTGTATCATTGTTGTTATTCTCATAACGGCGTAGTTGCTGCGTAGTTTTGACTTACGTATGATTATATATTACCTTGTGCAATATTGTAGCTGAGCTAATCCCTGTTGGTTGGATTATGGTTTGCGCTTTTGCATATACCCACTCCGTATGGCATTGTATATACATATACATTCGTAGTTAATGTAATGATAACGCCCTGAGGGGGTGAATTGCGGAGCGATCGACGAGGCAAATCCAATCGCTAAGTAATTTTCCGGAGTGACAGTTTGGATGGGAATCAGAGGACGCGTCGTGATACGACGTATTCGGTTATTATATGGATTATGGCTCACCGAATCGGCTAATGGCTATTGAGTCGCTGTGGTAAATGTTCGCGTTTGTTAAAAATTATTGTTTACGCGGTAAATCCCTTCGTTCCTGATTGTACTGTTATTTTTGGAATTTAAAAGGTTTGATGATCGGTCGTGTCATTATGGTCGTGGTGGATTTTAGAAGATTTGCTTACAGATGACAGTTTTCGTAAAAAAATATACGAAAGTGCATTACAATTGACTTTTAATCAAAGTGCAATCCGATCCAGATTGTCCTTACCACTGCACTCCCGCAGAGTGCACAAAAACCCGACCCAATCCCTTGAATCCTTGCACAGGAGGAGCCTCCCTCCCCGTACCTATCATCCGCTAGCGGTAGCTTTGATCTTCACGAGTGGAGAAACCACCGTCCGGACGAAATATTGTCCAACCTTGTCCATCGCTATTTTCGATAATGAGAGAGTCATAGCGGTCTCGGAGCGATCACAATGTCAATTGCGTTCGATAGTTAATTCGATACCTTTGTTCCTTTTGCCATGAACAGGAGATGTTATATTCGCGGAGGATCGATACTTTGGTACGAACAATAATTTCTTTTTAAATCAATTTTAATTTTCACCAAACATTAGTGATGCGTTTAATTGATTCAAAATTCCTCGGAGATGGCAATAATAAGGGTAAACAAGTTTAAACATTTGTTTATTCAAGTTGTTTTAGTGAAACTTGGCGGCAAGTATGTCATGACCGTATAACGCAAGGGAGACAAATATAAAGCTTGCTTTTTAGCCCAAAACTTTGAACCTGTGGAGGAGCCGAAAAATCTCTGGAAATATTATAATCGAGCAAAAAAACAATCGAAGTGATTTTTCTTTATGTACCAACGATACGTATACATCTATTTTTATTTTTCATCGATCCCATTAAGTATACAACAATTATATGCATCAATGAATCAATAAAAAAAAATAAGTCATATGATCAAATGACATGTAGTAAATTTTTACTTTTGCATGCGAGTTACAGTTCTGCTCTCCGCTATTTTTCCACGCTAGTGGTGAAAGAGATATCTCGGTATGTAGTTGAATCGCGTACAATCCAGGACGTACAAGTCCGTGCTTTGATGACGAAACGATTGCGAGGCTCACCCACGCACCCACGTGCACGTGTAATTGTTATTGTATTCACACACGTTGCCAGTAAGTGCATCGCGATGCAAGACGGATGGAGGGAAGGCGAAACGGTTCACTGAATTATTTATGAGCCCGCACGACTTTACCGCGAAGTTAAGTTTCGAGCTTTTTGTTTCCTTCGCCGTCGGGGGTTCATGCTCGCTGGGGGTAAAACGAGAGCTCGAAATCGAGACGTCCGGCATGATGTGTCTGTTTTTTGATAATAAAATTTAAAAAATTAAATGTCAGTCGTTGTTGTTTACGGCATATCGAGTGTTTCGATTAAATTTTCCTAACTATATACGCGCGGTTTCCCAGAACTTTGTACAAACTTGGAATCGGTATTGAAACTTTTTAGGTGCTTTTCCCATTTTAAAAGCATTGATTTCGATAAATATTTCGTATATGTCTTTTATGTGTTACACTAGTGAGAATTTCATTGTCTTCATAATATTATGACGCAACAGTGGTACAGTACTTTGATTACAGACGAAAAAAAAAAAAAAAAAATTATAATAAACGAGTGATTTATGCACCTGAATTCGACGTTTTTCCAACCGACTGGAAATATCATTGTGGAACAATCAATTTCCATAATCTTCTTTTACTCTCGAGGAACAAAGCCATCGGGTGCTCGTCCAAAAAACGCGGATCAATCGGAATTTCCTCGCAGAGTCACAAAATGTCTCCCTACCTCACTCGAGACAAGTGCATCCAAGCACTCGATGGAACTTCTTTGCTCGCCTCAAACTGTCACTCCAGTTAAGCTTGGCGCATATGAGTAACACTCTTTCGTCGGCTCGATCCGTACAAACGAATGCGGAAACGCAGAAAAATCTATCATGTACCTTCAAGGGGCCAAGGTACGTTCTCGACCTATGGAAAAAAAAAAAAAAAAAAAAAAAAAAAAAAAAAAAAAACCACTAATCGTTCTCTAATCATTTGTTCCTATGCTTATATTGACGCTGTATACATGAGAAAAAAGCGCACGCTATGCAAACACGCAAAGAAAAAAAAATTAAAATGAAATAAAATAAAAATCTTTGTACGAGAGAGAGAGAGAAAGCGTATGCCAAGAAAAATAAGAAGAACAAAAAATCAAAAAAATGATTATCAAGTCTTTTTCTTTCTTCTTTTCACAAGATGGTGTTGCAGGTACGACGACCGCACCAAGAGCATATACTCGGAGACGTACATCAAGCACAATGACCGGCGCACGTCCAGCGACTTTGGCAGCAGTCTCTGAGACGAGAGGAAACGTAGCTTTAAGTCGCCCTCCTTGCCCCTGATAACCCTCCAGCCGCCACCCCCGAACGTCTCTCGACACTAGGCACCAAAGGCCCCGAGAGAGCACACACATATGTACACATAATCACCCACACACGCGAGAAGCCGCTCTTCAATCCAATCTTCATTGACGAGGTCATCATCAGTATATACTCTTCCCCACATCGTAGCCGCTCACCGTTGTCACCCCCGTCAACGTGTATAGTCGCTGTTACGTAACCTCGACGCCCTTCGTGCTCTCTCTCTATCTCCATCTCCGTGTACACCTCTCGCCTGCGAAATGTATTTCTCGACGAAAATATATACCTACTTACTTGCATACCCATACTTACATGAAGCAAAAGTATACACGCAGCAATCACTCAGAGGTCACACGTATACGCGTACGTGTATATATATAAATAAATAGATACACGTTTTTAATTGAAGAATTATTATTATTAAAAACAAAAGAAAACAAAAAAGCATAGAAAAATATTGGTATACACCTACACCGGAGACACGTAGAATATGTTTGTGGTGTAACAAAGTCGTCGTTGTCGTCTCTATTCTCTTGGCGAATCATGAATTTGTAAAAAAAAAAAAAAAAAAAAAAAAGAAAAGAAAAGAAAAATGAATATAAATAAAATAGCGCGAGGCGATAATCGCGCGCGAGTGCACGTGCGCAATTTTATTAATTGTATATAGCTGACACGTCGTTTGTATTGGATGAACCGTGAAAAAAAAAGTGTGGCATTATGTTGAGAGAGTCGCAGGAATTTCGACAGAATAGGTAAAATATTATTATTAATTATGTTGGGTAAAGTTTGCTGACATGAAAAAAAAAAAAAAGAAATCCAGTCGATTGCGCACTTGCACTCGCATGTTCGACTATTAGTACATTTACCCGAAACAAAATTTGAAAAGAGCTGGTAATGTATCGATGGAAAAAGAACAAAAGGTGGGGGGGGGGAAATAAATATGATTCTTCGCATAATGTTTTTGTGCTAGGTTTGTAATCACATATTGCCAAAGTTAGCTTGTAAGCGCGTGCTTTGTGTTTTAGCCGATCGTGCGAATGAGTGCGTCTATTTACGTGTAAAATGGGTAAATGTGGGTGCGTGCACGCAATAAAGAAAAAAGAAAAAAAAATGAAAAAAATGAAAAAAAAAAAAAATTAATATAATTAAGTAACGCCCGAGCGAGGATTTATTGGTGAAAAAATGAAATAAAGAAAGCGTACGATGATTTTTAAAGAACCAGAGTCTTCGATGGATTCTGCGAGCTCCCGAAGTCGAGCGGACGAACATCTTATAGTGATTTATTTTAAGTTGTGGTAATTTTTTTTTTTTTTTTTCTTTAACCAGAAAAAATTTGTTGTAAAAATATCGAAGAGATTGAAAATATTTATCACTTTAGTTTGTAATCATCGTCGCATATACTTTGTGTTTGGAGATCAAAAACTGAGGTACATCCTCATAAGGATGAACCACGCAATAAAGTATTACCCGTGTCGTAAGTATACATACTGTACATGTATATATATAAATATATACATAGAAAAATTAAAAATGCGCAGTCGTAAAAATAATATACGTAATAATATGGTGGAAGGCGAGAGAAAACGCAACCCACCGGGGCGACCGGAAAGTTTGCTCGTTATGAAATACTGGCCTTTTTTTTTTTTTTTTTTTTTTTGTTAATTTTATTTCAATACCAAAAGCTGTATCGCGGCATGTTCCTTTATTTCGTCGAAAACAATCATGACAAAGATAAAAATAAAACGTGGTTGAAACAAGAACACTTTTTTCTACGACACGAAATGGTGTTATTAGTAGCTACTGCCTCGATGATATGTGTGTATAATGATGCGTTAGTAGTCTGTGAAAACTCAGTGGTGTTATCGTGTAGCTAGTAAATGCTCTGCCCAAGCCCCTTAAAATAATAATAAAACACGCGTTCAAACGACACTTAATTTAAATGTTTCAAATTGTCAAATGACGAGGAATCTCTTCCTTTGTAAGTGTAAATGTACATACCTACGACATAGTGATATTAACGTTGATGAGGAACACGTCGAATCACGTCATTTCTTTAATTTTTATTTGTTTATGTAATTTTTTTTTTTTTTTCTTTCATTAACAAAAAGTTTAAACCAAACATCCATACAACTGATACTTGACCACACGGGATTTTGTCGAATCATCACCTTACCTAATTTGCTGCTTACTTATAGCAAGTCATGTTTTTTTTTTTTTTTTTTTTTAATGAAAATTAGGCGTCCTTGTAAACTTTCTGATTGGGATATTTATTTCGTACATAACCCGTGAGACGTGGTTGACGTTTTGTTGGTGATTTCACATTTTAAGTCGACATACACCATCCCCATAAAAATCAAAAGAGAGGTAAATAATATGTGTATCAAAATTTCAGTAAACTAAGGACGGAAAAAAATGTATTATTCTGCTTTTATTTTGTAAAATACGTAAGCGCATGTGCGCACGACTTCGGGTAGCATCTCGAAGCAATATAAATGACGTAAAAATTAAGTAAACGTGGAAAATAAAAATAAAATAAAATATATGCATATACATAAAAGGAGCCACTATTAAGGACATGCACATGTATACTCGATACTCGATATTATAAGTTCGCGACGAACGATATTATGTATTACGGAAACGCAGTACAGTTTCAGGTGTTACGTTGTTACGATGAATAAATTTCAAGTCTGATACTTTCGTGTGAGGAAAGTGGAATGTTTCGTTAGGTTCGTTATGAATATTGTGTAAATTTTATATTTTTTCAAAAATTAGATATTTATTGAAAAAATGTTTTTCTTTCGAAAGTTATATTATTACGAAACTATTTGTGTTAAAATCATCATAAATTTATGAAATGTTGATGGAATCTTTGTTAAATTTTATAATTTCAACGTTTGTTTCTTTTTTTTTTTTTTTTTTTTTTTTTTTTTTTTTTTTTTTTTTTTTTTTTTTTTTTTTT